GGGGGGGGGTGCCCCCAGCCCTGAACAAACCGAAGGAGAGAGGTCTTTGTGATGGAGAGCAGCCAGACCTGCATGATGATTTATGACCCTGCAGGTCCAACCTGCTTCCCTGCTAGAGGCAGGCAGGTGAGGAAAGTCAGGGCTCAATTTCTGGCTGCCTTTGCTGGTCCCTGTGGCTGGAGAACCATGTTGTGGGACAGCTGGGAGGAAGCACAAAATGCCAGCAAATAAAATAGCTATGAAATCTTCTCCTTGAAGACACAGCCAAGGCAACAGGCTTAGCTTGCTGCTGAAGCTGAGGGGCTTAGCTGGAACCCCCTTGGGCCAAGCAACTCAAATACTTTTGAGGCTGGAGGGGGATGTCCTGCAGGAGATAAGTGATTAGAGCCTTGCCACAGCAAAGAACTCTGACGGGATGGTAGCATTAGCCACGGGATGCAGGTCAGAGATGATGACTCTGTGTACAAGCCTATGGAAATGCTGGTGGTGGTGCAACCAGCTGCCTGGTGTCCCAGGGTATGCTTGCTTGACAGCTGGGGGTGTAGGGATGCCTGTACTGGTCTGAAACTGGAATGCTTTAATGTACTGAGACCAACACCCCTGCTGAGCATGAAGTCCCTGAAACCATGGAAATTCAAAGAGAAAGCCAAAGCAGAGAATTGTCCTAATTCCATGTTAAGGTGCTTGGTTTGGAGCACTTGTACAGGAGAACCTGGGGCCCCTGTCCCTACCCTGCTTGGTGTTACCAGCCAGCGGTGGTCCCTGCTCCTGTAGTAGTGCCATGGGGGACTAGGGCAGTGGGGCTCTGGGCTTACACCCCAGAGCATCAGGGCATAACCTCTGCTCTCTGCACTGCCAAGCAGGGTGTTTAGCTCCAACCCTCCCTGCCTAAATTGAAAGGAAGAGCAGCTATGTCCCTTCACCTTGTCCATCTGCCTGGTGTCAGCTCAGTTGGCCCTTTGGCATCCTCTAGCTTCCTGCAAGTGTCTTGACTGTAACTGTCCAGCTTCGACTCAAGCTTGTTTCTCAAGTGCAGTATGGAAGCACTGGATTGATGGCCTACATAGGCTTGTCCGTCCTGCCCCTTGCACACTCGCAGACCTCTGCTGCTTTTGCCCTGCTACTGGTGAGCTAGCAGTGGGCTGAAGCTCCTGCAGAGCAGGCAAGAAGTATGTGGGGCCCAGGGCAAGACCAGGCACTGGCTTGTTCTTCCAAGGGCCTCCAGAGCCAGGCTGCTCTTTCAGGTAGGCTGGTTCTTCACTGGGAGGGTTGTGCTTGCTGGTGTTCTCCAAAAGTTTTTGATGATGTCGGCAGCTACAGGAGCATCAGAGTGTGCTCTGCTCCTGGGCAGCCCAGGAGGACAGATGTCTTCCCTTCCCTGCCCCTTGTGTGTAGGATGGCGGAGTCAAGGGCTGTTGCTTCCTCCCTGGCAGGGAGGACCAGGAAAAAACATCTCTGGTCTGGCTGAGGTGGTTGAGGGAGGCGAAACCATTACCACAGGTCCTTCAAGGATGATCCCCAGTGACATGGGGACACTGAATGTAAGGCTTGGACACCAAAACTTTATGGTGCATGGTGGGGCAGAAAAACTCTGCTCTCCTAAATTGGAGGGTATCAAGCAGGCCTTCAGCCACATCTTTTCCCTCTGGGGTCTTAGTTCCTGCCCTCCAGTTGGCAAGTTACTTGTTCTAGACAGATAGCTTAGCTTTCAAAGAGGTCTTCTAGTCTGAAGAATGACCCTGAGGCTCCAGGGAGCTCCCTGTACAGGTAGGGCTTCCTGCCCAAGGAGGTCCACCAGTGGTGATGTGCCCCTAAGCCTTAGGGAGCCACTGTAACCCCTCCAGGCTGTGGCCATGGCTGGACCCACCTCTCCTCTGAAGAAGAGAAACTGGGCTGGCCGAGCAGTTACAGCTGCTCCTTGCTGCGTTGTGCTTGAGCCGGCAGTGACCTCACAGGGACACATTCTGGTGCAGTATACATTACCAATAAAGTTTTATGGGGTTAAACATTACTCAGGCTGGCAGCTCTGAGCTGCCTGATCTCCAGGCTGGAGCCCTCTCCTTTGCAGAGCTGAGGCAGGGTGGAGCGAGTCGGTAAGATGACTTTTGCTCACATACTGGGCCAGAAGCTGTAACCTTGGTCCTGGTGTGATGAGCCTTCTGCCCTCGCTGGCAGGGGCTGGCTCGCATTACTGGTGGGGTGGTGGGCATGTGGGTTGTTCCCCAGGACAGCTACAGCTCTTTCTCCTAAGGCTCTTGTTGGCTGGAGGGTGTTCATGGGGATGGCCAGAGCTTTAGTAACTCCATAGCCTTCAGTCCTGGAGCAGACATGAAATTGGAGGCAGTAGCTAAGCTGAGAGCTTGTTGCAAAAGATTTAAACCTGAAGCGCTCATCTTCTCGCAGCTCTGTTCAAGTCTGGTAGTGAGCAGGAGAGGAGCTAGCCGCCCTCTGTGATGCACCTGAGCAACCTCCTGAAGAGCTGCCCGGAGAGCTGGCAGGAGATGGCGCGAGGCTGGCCTGGCCTTGGCTCGTGCACTGGGAGCTGTTGGTAAGCTGCTCGCAGATGAGACTGATGGCTGCTGCTCCCACCATGGCCGAGCTGCCGTGCCGTGGTGATGCTCCCTGTGGGCTCCAGGCTGCTGTAGATGTGACAGTGGCCTGACACTGCACCGCTAAGAGCCTCTACCTGTGGGGACTCCACTGACTTTAAGACTGTCCCATCTGCCTTCCCTCCCTCCCACCCTCTCTCAAATCCCTCCTTTGATATCCCTAGTGAACTCCAGCCATGATGCCAGCGCAGGCTAGCCCTGAAGCTCAGAGCTGTCCCTGGAGATGGGGACACCCTAGTGATGCCTTATTGCAGCTAGTGGAGTGGCTGTACTACAGCTCCATTCCTAGAAGTGTTAAGCATGATGGCAGCCACGTCTGGAAAGACTGGTAAGGTAACCATCTCTCCTCCAAGGTGCACCATGGGATTTGCAAGCTTCTGCCCATCTCTGTAGCCCATATCTCCTTGGCAACCCAGTGCATGGGCCTCACGCTACCCACCCACCAGAGCCTGGGGAATGAGATACCAGGCCTTCTTTCTAACCCACATCTCCAACTTGGCAGCACATGACATGGCGCACACAGCATGGCACCATCTTACATCAACTCCTCCCAGCTGAGCCAGGCTCAGCCAGGTCCCGCTGGTGGGAGGGGAGCAGCCTGGTTGAGCCGGGGCAGAGACCACCCTGCTGCTCTGCGTGAAAGAAACCTGGTTTCTCCCCAACCATGACCGTTCGAGGGCAACCAGAAATACACCTTGACCTCACTCCTGGCACACGGTGGGGGAGGTGAGTGACGTGATAGCGATAGCACACAACTAAATTCTAGCGGGCACGTTAGACAACAGCACTTGCCAGTCACTTTGTTCCAGAACTGCATACCGGGACAGACCCTGCCCTTAATCATGGGTCTAATCTTACCTCTTTCCTCTCCAGTTGCTGGAAACAGAGCAAGTTCCTACCTGGAGCTTGGCTTCTCTCCTGCAGCCTGAAATCACAGGCAGGACACAGGTCTTGTGAGCCGTAACAAAGGGAATCAGCCTGGGGGAGATGGGAGCGGCATAGGAAACTGGGAGCTTGGGAAGAGGGAAGGTGGTCTGGCCTGAGACTGGTGGCAGGGAGGATGGCTGCTGTGGTCAGCTCTGAAGGAAGAGAGTCCTGGCTCACTTCTTGCGGTGGTTCCAAGTAGACCTTTTTCCTCTGTGTAGTAGTGATGCTGGGGAAAGAAGTCATCAAAGGTGGGGGCACTGGTCTGCCTTTGTCCTTGGAAGACTGTGAAGTGCTAAGATGTGCAGACCTGGTCCCCTGGAAAGATGGGGAGAGCCTGACACAAGCATAGAGACAATGATACATCTTGCCTTGTTCTCCTTGGGTATGGTGCAGTTTTATCTGTTGCCTGTGTGGTAGAATTGGGCTGCATTGTGTGTCTGATGTGAAACCACTTGTTTTGGAGTGCCTCTAAGCCAGGGTCTGAGTGGGCAGTAGGAGACACCAGCGGCTATTGATGCTCATGGATCTCTTCTGCAAAGAGGTGCTTCCTTTGGCAGCACCCCTGAGGGCAGGACTCCGTTATGGGCAGGGCTTGCCCTGGAAAGCAGGGGCTGGATGCAGGACTGTTTCATAAGAATATGGGTGAGGCTGGTGGTGGTTACCACATCATGCTTGTAGGAGACAAGGTGGCATTGGAACAGGCTGTCCATGGAGGTGGTTGAGTCACCATCCCTGGAGGTGTTCAAAAAACATGTAGATGTGGCACTTTGGGATATGGTGTAGTAGGCATGGTGGCGTTGGGTGGATGGTTGGACTTGATGATCTTAGAGGTCTTTTCCAACCTATGATTCTGAGGTGAGGCTGATGTGTTGGGTGCCTAGAGCCTGGGAGATTGTCTGTGGTAGATGCTTCCAAGGCAGGGAGAAGGTCATGGACTGAAAGCTCACAACTGCCTATCCTTTTTGGGGTGGGCTGCCCAAGGTGCCCTCAGAGCCTCCATGTTGCTGCTGCTGGCAGCAGCCTTGTCTGGAGGCTTCTGGGCCTCTGAAACTGGGACTTGTCTAAGTGAGTGGTAGGTGGAAGGAGCAGTCCTGGCTCGTGGCTATGTGGTGGTACAGAGCCCAGCAGGACCCTGAGGCTTCCCAGCACCAGGTTGAGGTACAGCCCATTGATGGAAGGAGAGGTCAGTGCTCCAGAAAATATCTTTCCCTCTTGCTGGTTGCCTGGGCTAGCTCAGAGCAAGCCAGATCTCTTGAGCGGAGGCTACTGTTGTGGATGGACATGAGGCAGATCCCAGTGACTGTGATCTTGTGCTGGCCATGGAGAACTGGAGTTGCAGGAAGATCTGCCTGTGCTCCTCCTCAAGTACTGTCTCCTGTTGGGATGCTGCTGTTTGGGTGTGTGACCACCTGGGTGAAACCAGCCTGGCTGATCCTTGGAGCATCACACAATGGCTACCATGGTGGATCTGCTGGAGACTGGAGATCCTGTCTCTGTGCACTGCTGACTGGTGGACTGTCTTCACAATGATGGTTGCAAAATCGTATGGACTTCATGTTGTGCCGGTTGAGCTCTGGACACTCCCTGGGATGGAACACTGGAGACAGTGATGGATTTGCTGTGCCTAATAACTTGTTGCTGTCATGTAGGACTTGCTAGGATTATTTTTTCTGGGCAATCTCCACGCTTCCTGGAGGTGTGAAGCACTCTTCAAGACTTTCATAGTTATGGCATTTTCCTAAACCTGAGCGACTTGGTGCTGTTACAGGCTGACTAAACAGCCCTGAGCAAGCTCTCCTCAAGCCAGCGATTTCCCTCTAGCCAGAGAAGACCAGGCAGGAGATGCTCTTAGCTCCTCCAGCTACCTGCTGAGCAGCACTTCTCACTGAATCATGCCTGATGAGTGAACTGGACTGAGATGGTGTCAGAAGTGACTTCCTGACCTGTGGCCAGCACTGGCTCTCCCTGGCTAGCTCAACCTGGATAAAAGCTGCACAGCTCACTTCCACTCTGGGAAAAGGAGAAACGCTTGTTCGCCGAGGTCTGCAAGATGGGTATGTCTCCACAAGCTGTAGCACAGGCTGCCTCAAGGCCCAGGGGGTACAAGGCAAAGGATGGATGCCTGTTGAAACATCCTGTCTAAGCAACAGGATGGATCAGTGCCTGTTGTCATCTGTGTGCTCTTCAGTGTGGTGTGATACTATGTGGTCACGCTGCAGCTCTCCCACCCTGTAGCTGCCTGGGGAGATGAGTGTGCTTGATTCAACTACAGCAAAGTTTTCTTGGTGGCAGGCTGAGCTGCTTGGGTCTTACAAGGCATGTGAGTGTTTGGATGCTCGTCTCCTCAACCCAGCCCCCTGAAGGACCCTGGAAGGGGGTGGCTTGGGTGAAGTGCCTGCTGCTGAGGCTGGAAGTGTGTGTCCAGAGCACACTGGTGGATTACATTAGTGTCTTGTGGGTGCACCTTTGCAGGCTGTCCTTGCCTGCCATGGGTCATGTTCCCATCAGCTGTGTTTGCAGCTGGAGCAGAGCAGCTCTTGCTGGCCACCAGTGCAGTCTGCCCAAGGCTTGCACCCAGTGACCTGCAGTCTGGGGGAGGTGGTGACCGTGAAGTGCTTATGGCTTGCTGGGGTGAGGCTGTCTCAGCAGTGCGATTGAAGATGCCACTCTGCACGTCAGCAGCTGGTAACTAGATGCAGCTCTTGAACATGCTGGTTGGGATCCCAGAAGCTCCCAGGGGCACAATGAAGTGCTTTGTCCCTGCCTGCACAGGGAGCATTTCTGGTACCTGGAGAGGTGGCTGGGCCCATTCCAGTTCTAGGGGTAGCTCTGAGCTCCACGAGTTGCTGGGGCTGACTACAGAGCAAAGATAAGCAGACCTGTAAGTAACTCAGGAGAAAAGGCGGGCCATCCAAGCTAAAGGTGTCTTGAGGATGGGTCTGTGTATTCAGTCCTCCCTTCTCCCTTCTCTTTTTTCTGCTGAAAGAATCGCTCTCCATAAGGACGGTGGGCAAGATAGGAACTTGAATTCTGAGGGTAACTGGGAGAGACAGTGGAGGACTTGACAAGGAGAGTGAAGCACTGATGGGGTGTTTACCTGCCTCATTTATCATTCCCTTGTGATTTTTTTAGGTAGCTGGTCTTGTACTACAGCAAGGGCAAGGCTCTTCACTTCTGGATGTTCACCTGGCCTCTGGAAGGTAGCAGGCAGAGGCACAAATTTCTCCAGCTGTTTTCTGGGACAGACGTTGAGCGCAGCAGCACGAGGCTGGCTGCAATCGGCTGGCGGTATCTGTCTCGTCCCTATGGGCGGGCGAGCAGGAGATGCTTGCGGTGGTGTGGCCAGACTCCTTTCCAACTGTGAGCTAATGCAGCTCCAGAAACAACTGCATCTCTTCCAGTAAAAACCTCCCTTGCTCTGCTTTCCTTACCCAGTGTTGGACATCTCCATTCACTCTTTCTCAGCTTCCTCCTTGACAGACATAGCATTTTGAGAGATAACTGATCTTCTGAAAGCCCTCAGAAATCTGCTTCCTGGAGGGAAGTGCTCTGGCCTGGCCTGCCAGCTTGCAGCCCTCTTGGGACAACCCTATGCAGTCTCTCATGGCACTGGTCTCCTCTTCCTGATCGCTCTGGGAGCCCTCTGTTTGCAGAGCCTCTCTACTCCCTGGCAAAAGCAAGGTGCCTGAGACACTTTGAGAGATGTGAAGAGTAAACTGCCTTGGTAGGTGCCACTGTTCTAAAGGAGCATGTCGTCTTTGCTAGCTGCTGCCTTCGATCTGGTTCTTCTGGTGCTTTCTGCTGGTTTTAGAAACATTCTCCCTAGTGAGGGGGTGTTCCTGTCTTGTCCCATCAAGCCCTTAATCATTCTGTGGGCTGAAAGACCTGGCAGGTCATTTCCTCACCCTGCCAGCATGTCGGAGCCTTGGCTTGTACCCAGGTTCATTGCATCTGCATGAGCTCTGGCCAGGCGGACCCTGTCTGTCTGCAGGGCTGTGCCACTGGCAGGTGGGGCCACTGCGAGTCAGGCTGGTTGGGTTTGCATGTACAAGCATCGGAGACCTACAGGAGGAAGGCAAGGAGAGGTGGTCCATCAGATGTGGAGGTTTATTACTGCCAGAGCTACAATGAGTGCAAGTTTCAGGAGAAAAGCAGGATTTCTGTTGAAACTGGAGGTGCTGGAGGCTCTGACCAGGCTTGGGGTGGGGTGTGTACGTGGGGCAGAAGCTGGTTCAGACCTCCTGCAGAGGGGATGAAGAGCAGCCAGGCTTGGGGAGCGGGGTGGGGAATGGCTGTCCTGCACGTGTGCAGCTGTTGTGCCTGCTTACGTAGAGCTAGGCTGCTTGTGCGGAGCCTGGCGTGGGATGGAGACAGCTCTTGGGGTTAAGCGCTCACAGCCGTGTGAACGCAGGGGGAGTTTCTTGTTGCTGCTGGGCAGGAGGAAACTACTTCCAGCTGTCGAGGGGAGGGATGCTGGAGTGGGAGACGCTGGCCAGGGAGGAGGACTGCTGGCTGCTGAGAAGATGAGGCTCTGCTGAGCAAGCACCTCCTGGTGACTGGGCTGGGGAGGGAGCAAGTAACCCCTGTCCTTGTACTGCCAGCTGCTGTGGTGGCCATGAAAGGTGTCAGTGATGCTGCTGCCCGCACCGGGCTGCGAGCCTTCCTGGCCTGTGTCATGCAAGGAGATAACCATGCTCCAGAGCAGTGTGGTGGCCCCAGGCTGGGAAACAAGGGTGCAGCTGAGCTGGGTCCTTCTCACGTGCTAACGGAGAAGCGAAGGCATGGTGTGTGTGGCACTCTGGTCATGGTACTAGATGGGACCCCTCACCAGGGAAGAGGGCCTTGTTTATGTCTGTGCCCTTGGTTCCCTCCACCTAAGGCTGGACCGACTGGGATGCACCTGGCTGCTGTGCTGTGGAGCAAGCTATGGGGCCAGCTGTGAGCTGAGCTGGTGCCATCCACTCACCTTGTGAAGGTGTCTGGAAAGGTGTCTGACCAGCCCAGTGTGTCTGACTACAGACAGCTGCCTCAAGTGTGGAGCTGGTGCTTGAACAGGAGCCTGGGGTCCAGCAGATCCAACCTAGATGAGGAGAGGCTTCTGCTAGGACAGAGCCTCTGCAGACTTGCAGGCCTCCTCCCTGTAGGAAGCATCGAAAGTGGAGGGACTTGAGCAGCCCCAAGCATGAGCTCAGGGACCTCAGTCACTGGCATCACCACCCTTGCGATGGTGGAGGGGGGGAATTGGCCATCGCAGGCAACTGTGTCTTCTGGGAGGTGCGTGCTTGTTGTCCCCTCCAGCTCCCGTAAGGAGGCTGCAGTGTCAAGGTCTTGGCCATTTGCTGCGTGTCTGTGTATGAAGGAATGAACACAAAGCCAGAGGCTTTGCACCTTCCTTGGGTGTCAGACTTCTGCTTCTTACAAGGGTCAAAGGAAGTAGAGTTTGAAGGGACCCATTGAGGATGTGCCTAGCTTGGTGAGTAATCCAAGGGTGTTGCTAAGTCTGAGTGTTCTGGTCTTCAGCTCTGTGTCTTCTGAAGACCCATGTGCAGCTTCTGGAGGTCTCATGCAGCTGGGTTTGGGGACACAGATCTGCATCTCCGCTCCTGGATAACTACAGCAAGACTTGTGTTGCGTGTTGCATCAGTTGGGCAGCCTGCTGGCTGCTAGGTAGTTGGAAGACACCTACCTCCTGTTCCCCCTCACTGTCAGATGTCATCTCAACCTGGAGTGGCTTTCTTGATGTCTCTCTCATGCTTACAGCCTGCAGGGCAGACCTGACTCTGGCAAGAGACCTGTTAGAAGGAGGCTGGCAGAATTGCCCTTGCTGGCATGGCAGTAATGCATCAGCTGTGTGGGGCTCAGATGAGCTCCAAAGCCTCTGCCAAACTAATGCTTTGGCTGTGGCTGCAACTCTTCCTTTACTCAACTGGCATGGGATCTTGCTTCAAGAAAGTCCACCTGTCCTTGGCCAAGAGTCCCTCTTAGTGGGAGAGTGGCATACACAGGGGTCAGAGCTGGTCAGGGAATGCTGTTTTTTCCCCTCTGGCCCTGGAGTGGTGCATGTGCTTGGGAGGGGAGCATCTAGCCAGGCTTGATCAGGCAAGGGGACAACCTTGCCAGGATGGTCTGGCAAGGGGAACCGTTGTCTGCCTCTTTTCTACCCATCTTAGAGCAAAGTCCATTGTTCTGCTGGTACCCAGAGCCATGAAAGTACCTGCTGCTCTTGATGCCTGTCCACACTGAGGCTATGCTCTCCTCCCACCAGCTGGGGAAGGAGGAGAGAGGGGATGACTGCTGTGTTTCAGCTCCTTTTGCAAACAGCAGCAGGACTGAGCTCTGCTAGCTGCTCCTGCTCCTGGATCTGTGCTCAGTCAAGTGGCACAGACTCAGCTTCTGCTGCTCTCAGCCATGAAGCTGCTAACTCAGCCCAGCCTGACATGCCGGTCTTGCAGACCAAATGGGAGGATCCAGATGTCTGATGGTGTTTTACTGGACATTGTTAGCTTTCTGCATCTACTGACAGGCTGGAAAGTGTCTCTTTAGTTGCTGTTCCTACGTCTGCTTGTTGGGTTCCCATCCAGCAGTCCTTCCTCAGCAAGAAGCAGGCCTGAGCAGTAGATGTGGCAGTAATGACGTGCCAGCAAAGCCTCCAGGTCTTGATGGTCTGCAGCTTTACCAAGCTCTTTCCATTATGTGGTCTGCCTAGAGCTTCTGATGGCTGGGTTGTGGCTTCATGGGAGTCTTCTGTGGTGGATGAGCCAGTCCTTACCCTGTGCAAGTCATGTAGAGATTGTCTGGTTTAAATGTGTGGTCTTGAGATGCCGCCTTCTGATGGTTGAGGGCAGAGCAGCCACCACCTTGGGGTGCTGCATGCCTGAAGTGAGCCACCTAGGCCCTGCCTGAGCCTGAATGAGGGGAAAGATGTGAACCTAGGGTGTGTGTGGGAGTGGGAGCATGGCTGGGGGTAACATCCCCTCCTTGCACACACTTCTGTAGTGGTAAACTTCATAGATAGCTTGGTGGTGAGGAGCTTTCCTAGCTTGAAAGGTGGTGTTTTGTGTAGTGAGCTGGGGTGTGAATTTTGAAGCTGTCTTCTGGTTATGCCAATAGGCAGAAAGTACTTGAGATGTTGAGGCAAGCCCTGAGATGGGGTGATAGCTTCCTTCTTAGATGTGTGGAATCCTGCTGTGCTCCTTAAGGGAGGACCTGGCCGGGTCCTGATCCTGGTGAGCCTAAGCCTGTCCTTGCATGAGTCACCAGAGCTGGCCAGTGTGAGGATGGCACACTGGGCAGTGCCGGCATGGTGCAGCCCCAGGTTGGGATGCTACTCAAGTAGTGTTTAGGGTTCACCCTGGAGCATCCTTTCCCATGCTGGAGACATCTCTACTCAGTATACCTCATACGTGGCCTGAAGGAGCTGAAGGTTTGGGCTCTGATTGAGATAATCCTGGATCATGGAACTCTGGCATGGCTTTCTTTTCCAGATGCGCTGGTATCCTCCCTCCGAAGCTACCCAGCAAGGATGGAAGTCTCGTCAGTTTTGTTAGTTTCTTAGTAAGTAATTAATTACTCCTGGAGCTGGGTCCTTGTCTTGCTCGTTCCTGGGGTCTTGTGGGGAGGAGGGAAAGGAGCTCAGGCTCAGCCCCCTGCATCCACCCAAGGATGTGGTTGGGTTATGTTGATGGGTGATGGGGCCAAATCCACCCCAGCGGGAGCAGGGACACCCACCAAGCCCCCCCAGGGTGGGGAAGGGGCTGTGGGTGCTGCTTGGGGAGCAGATCCAGCCAGCCCTGCTCACTGCCGCTCCTCTCCTACAGCATCTCTCCTCGGCTTGTGTTCCTCCTCCTCCCTGCCTCTCTGCGGAGGGATGTGCCAGGGATGATCGCTCAGACTCCTCTCGTTGGGTTTTGCGGCCAGCGGACAGGGTGCCCGGCCCCGGTGTGGTCCCCCTGGGCTGCCAGCATCCCCCCTCCCTGGACTGTGAAGCCGCCGCGGCCCCCTGCCACGGGCCATGCGCTGCCTCCATCCATCCCTCCCCAGGACATCCTCCCTGACTGAGCTTCGCCGTCCTGCTGTGCTGAAACCCAGCCGGGGGCTCGGTCCTGGGCTTCCCCGGGCTCGCCCTGTCCTGGCGGCTCAGCTGAAGGAAACGAAAGGCAATGGGTTTTGCATGTTTTCTGGCATGAATTAAAACACTTGTGTATGTGTGAGTGTAAGTTTGTTTGTTCTAGCGTTTGTGTAACCGTTAGCAACAGGTCTTGGCCCAATGGATTGATCCATCAAGGTTTTCATCTTGCTTCAGTGAAGACTTGGCTCTGAGAAATACTAACTGTCCTTGTCTCACCCCTTCTCCCACCTCCACCCTCCCCTTCCCAGTACAACCAGAAGAATTTGAAAAATGTTTCTTTTTTTTCTTTTGTTCCACATATGATGCACTGGGTTTCTGTTCTCATCCATTTTTCTCTGGTTTTAAAGTCAGGGTTGTTATAATTTTTTTTTCTTCTTCAGACTTCTATATATAGAATGGCTGTAAAATATCTAACCTCTTTTTTTTTTTTCCACATCCTTCTGATTGGAGAGCATCCAGTCCTGCCAAATAATCAGCCATCCTTATGGGAATACCGAACAAAAAAAAGTACGAGTATTTTTGTACCATGTGTAATAAGGAAATATTTATGCATCATAAAGAATTTCTTCTGTGTTTCTGTGCAATTAATTATTATTATTAAAGAGAAATTGTAATCCTGTAAGATAAGTTAATGTTTAGTTAAAAGCTTGAAAGAGAAGGGTTGTCTTCTGTAACAATGATTCAGTCAGGCATAGTAAACAAGAAATTGTGCAATTTTTTGTTTTAGCATCTTATTGCTTGGTATTGAAGTGCTTTAAGTATTATACGACCATGGCTGTCTCGCTTGTATTAAAAGATTTAAGAATAAGTTGCTATATAATTGCTGATCCTATGAGAATGTGAAACTGGATAATATATGAAATGCAACAAAAAAAGAATATACCCAGAGGCTGCTGTGACTCTTTTTCTGTGGTCTGTTGTGTTTTCCTTCTGCGGCTGGGTTGGGATGCTTCAGCCTGGGGGCCCCTGCCTGGAGGATGCAGGCTCCTTGGGGAGGCTACTGAGACCCACGAGGTCCAGGAGAAGGACAAGTCCTTGCCTGCATGGGTGCGTGTTGAGGGGGCTGCTGATGCTGAGCTCTTCTGGAGGCCTCCATGAGGGCAGCCGTCAGCATTTCTGGGTGTTTTTGTTCTTCCCTCCCCCCCTTCACTGCTGGCAGAGGCTGACGGCCTCTCCTCTGTGCCAGCAGTGCAGTGAGATGTCCATAGAAGGCAAACGTCCTCTGCAGCTGCAGCATCACCCAGCTCCTCCTCCAGTACAGGGTGCCCTGGCCAGGCCTGCCGACGTCTTTTTGTGGTTTTATCTGTACCTGCTAAAACAGCCGTGGGAACTGCAGCCCTGGGAGGGGTGGGAGTTGTCCTGGTGTGATGGAAGCAGGGCTGGATGTTCCAGCAGGAGCTGCCTGTGGACTGATTCGAAGATCCCTTCAGTCAGGACACATTGGAGGGAGCTTGCTGGAGTCCCAGCGGGGTGGCCCAGGGGTTCCCCGTGGCTGGACTCTGCGATGGGGTGCTCCTACAGCCCTCCCACGCAGCTTCCCACCCGAGGGGGCTGTGTTTTCCTCTCTTCCCTGGGGCTTCGAGGGCAGTGCTGAGCAAAGGCGAGGAGCTGGGGAGGGGGGGGGTGAATAATAAGAACAAGCAAAAGGCAAGGTCTAAAAATAGCCCTGCTGGCCACCATGCCTGGGAACGGGCTCGGCTGAGCTCTGCTGCTCCGGGAAGTGACTCGCTGTGGGGCTGCAGGAGCCAGAGCAGTGCTGCCAGCCCCTTCCCCGCAGGAGCCAGAGCTTGCTCCTGCCTGCATCCCGGCTCCTGCTCCCATCCTGGCTCTTGCCCGTTGGGTCGATCCACATCTCGCAGCTCTGCTCACCTAAGCGGAAACACTGCGGAGAGCAGTCAGGGCCTGGTGATGGGAGCGTGCGAGGCTTTAAATTATAGAGGAGAATTTCTTTTTTTTTTAAAAAAAAGCCTTTAGCACATGCATTAACATGGCCAGGCAATGAATAATTTACGCCCGGCTCTATTAAGCTTTTACACTGGGACCCGTGCAACACGGCTTGCCTCGGAGCTAAAGTAGGTCACGTCTGCTCCGAGGGTCCCTGGGCATCCCCCTCCCCGGCCGGTGTGAGCATGGCGCAGGCGTGTGTGTGCACACCTGCTCTTGCTGCCTCTGCGCGTCCGTGTCTGCTTGTGCGTGTGTTTAATGCCCCTCCTGGGCTGCTCCCGCTCATGTCCTACTCAGAGGGACTCTCTCTGGGCAGCGGTTTGGGGACAGGGAACGTCCCCGGTCTGTGGGTGGGATGAAGCCCCAGGGTGGAGAGCAGCTCTGCGTGGGGCACAGCCTGATGGCATGGCCAGGAAAAAGGGTGCAGGCTGCTGGCGCCCAGGTCCTTTGGTCCTTGGTGCTGACTGGACCTGCTGGGCATGGACACTCCTGACATCGGAGCCAGCAGGTCTGCGATCTTGTGTGATCAGCAGGTCCCTGCATGCATATAGCTGTTAAATGACCGGTGTCCTTTCCTACATCTCTGATTTCAAGCAGGGACTGAGTTTTGCATCTGGGCTCCGTGAAGGCAGCCTGGCAGCTGCTGGTTCCAAGGTCAGGAGTGCCTCGCAGCGCTGATGCTCTCCTTGTGGTCCTGCATACCTCTGATAATGATTAAGGGTACCCAGATGCAGCTCAGTCACGCAGATTGTGTGATCTAGTGTCTTCAGCCCATTTCTACAGCAAGTGCGGTGAAGAGGGATTCAAACGGCTGCTGCAAAGGATCAGAATTGCTCCTGCAAACCCCAGCAACTTCCATCTGCTGGTCCGCACCGGCAGCACAGGGAGAAGAGTCTCTATCACCATCTCCTTTCCCCAGGGCATCCCTCCTCTCTCAGGCTGAAGCCTTTCACGAATGACAATCATTTCAAAGACCACTGATGTCCTCCCAGTTGTTTGGGCACTGGGCAGATATTAATGGCCACAACCATGAGGAAACGTCTCAGACAGCTGCAGAACCATGCTGCAACAGGCTTTAGCAGCTACTGCTCCCAGCTGACTTCCAAGAAGCTGCAGCTCACGTAATGGGATTTCCCTGGCAAATGTGTGTGGTCCAGCCCCGTGGGGATGAGGTGCAGGTCTGCTGTGGTCAGGGAGCATCACATGTACCAACTCTGTGGAATCCCAGCCCAGCTGTGGCACATGGCCATACGAAATGAATGGCCAAGCTGCTTGACGATGGGTGAACTTGGTAGCACCGCTCTGGAAGAGGCAGGCTTGGCTGGTGGTTGTACAACTAGGCTCACCCAGGCCAAAAACATCACCAGTAGGGCAGAAAGAGCTGGGAAATGATGGACACCAAGCAGGGAGGAGAAAGCACACTATCTGTTCCTTATCTTGCGTTTCCTTATTGCACAGTACCCCCTCTCATGAGTTTTGCTTACCTGCAGAGGTTGGATATTGCCACACCATCTTACAGCTCCAAAAATACCTTTGCTATCCCCCTGCCAGCCACCCACTTGTGACGTTATTCTCCAACCCAGCAAGAAGTCTGTAGAGAATCATAGAATCATAGAAAGTTTTGGGTCGGAAGGGACCCCTAGAGGTCATCTAGTCCAACCCCCCCACAGCGAGCAGGGACACCACTAACTAGATCAGGTTGCTCAGAGCCCTGTCCAACCTGGTCTTGAATGTTTCCAGGGATGGGGCCTCCACTACCTCTCTGGGCAACCCGTTCCAGTGTTTCACAGCCCTCATTGTAAAGAATTTCTTCCTTATATCTAGCCTAAACCTACC